CGCGTCACTTCCGCCGGGGAGGGGCGTGACGTCACGGCCGCCCGCCGCGCCGGGGGCAGAGCGGGAAGTGGAATATTCCCGTTTGGGGACGCTCAAAGCGCCGTTTTCGGCAGGCGCCGCGGCCGCCCGCGCAGGGGAGGGAGGTGGCTGCTGCCCGCCCGGGCGAACGGAAAGGCAGCGACCAGCAAGAAAATAAAACAGGTAAAGACAGAGAAACTGGTTTAAAAAAAATCAAAAAAGTTTATAATTTTTTTTTTAAACAAGAACAGTTTTGAAAACATAACAAAGTCAAACGTGCATGAGAGGCGACGGACAGAGCGCACGGAGTCGGTCAGCTCTTTCTGAGCTAGGGCTTAAGGACAAGGCAGCAGCGCGCCGCGGGACTAGCGCGACAAGCCTTCCTTGGCACCGCTTTAGGCTTTCTGAAGAGCACTGGAAATTCAGGTGTTGGATTGACATGCTGCTCGTGTAAGAGAGTAGGCCAAGTCTTTAAAGCATGTTGCCAACGTATGACGTTCACCCATCAGCAGGGGGACAAAGGTGCTTTAATCTTTTCCCAGCATGAGCGAAGGAGCAAGGGAGAGGGGCTGCCAAGGAGAGCCCGAGGCAGACCGGGGCAGGGGAGCGCAGAAGGGGCTTCCCCGACTGGTGTTGTCTTCCCCCTTCTTTATTCCCCAGTCAGCTCTGGGGATTCAAAGATTGCTTTTCACCTTTTCAGAACAGTGTATTTTCTCTGCATCAATTAAATACTTCAGCATTTGGGGTTTTTTGTCCGTTTTTTTTTTTTTAAACAATATTCTTAAAAGAGAAATCACACTGTTGTCCCTACAGAGTGTTTTAATATCATCTCTAAAGTACAATTCGTGTCTGATTTTGGAAATACAAATACATTTTGAATGGTTAAAAACAAAAATTAAAAAAATATTTTGAACATCAGCCAGCTGAAAATATATTTATCTAGTAAATAATCTCTCAAAGCTTTTATATATTTAATTATTCTAACTAAACATAGTACCCTTAAAAAACAAGTTCATAAAAATGTAAAAATGAAATTGTGGAATAAGATTACTGGGATATATATATATACACACAACCATTCAACGCATACATAGAATTACAAGTACCCTTAAGTTTGGAAGGTTGTTAGACAAATGGAACTAGTAAGCAACGCTCAACTCCTGAGTTCCTCAACCAAGATAACCATAGGCTAATTTTTAATTTTTTTTCTTTTTTATACACAAGATATTCCATGTAAAGCAGCAACAGCAGTGCAGTTACTGATAGCAACATCTCAAAAGTAATAAAAAAACCATACATCCAGACAGTAGTACATTGCACACACACGTGATTCTCATACGCCCCTCAACAATTGGTCAGAGTATTAAATCAGTGTACAAATTAAATATTTCCAGAAATGTGCAAAAAAGTCAACGTTGATAGAAAAAAACACCTTTGTGTACATACATTACAAACTGTGCCCAGCATTCAACTGAGAGTAAAAACATTTACAGTGAGAAACTGATAGATTAAATAGAGAATTTAATGGCTACATAAAAAAATGTACATTAGATCAAGAGTAAATTTACAAATTTTAATTCCTAGCTTCATGAAAACTAAAAGCCTACGTTCCAATTTATCTAAGTCTCCCTCCACATATTTACAATGATATTCCTTTATATGACTTGCGTGAGGTCTGAGATGACAGACACTATTTTTCATAATAAACTATTTCAATTTTAGGATGACACCACCTTTTAAACTGGTATTCATGAGAAACAAACACTAGGAAACTGACAATCTGATGCCTGTTCAGAAAAGAAAATGCAATCCTTGTTTTTAAATCCACATTATATACTCTTTGGGGAAAAGGATAAGCTATTATTGGGGGAAAAGACATGAAAAACATTTGAAATATTTCCTGCAAGTAGCCACTCTAGAGTTACCATATCCTTTTCCTTATTTCCCCACAAAAGACCTTGACCTCCAGTCCTGATCAGTGGACTCAGAGTAAGGACTGAATCACAAGATAGGATTTTAACGTATTTAATCCAGTTCCTCTCCCTTTAAAGCAGGTTCATGAAGAAATAAGACCTAGCCAAAGCATGACTGCTAACACTGTTTGATACACGAGAATTTTCTCCATCTCCCCTTGCCCCTCAAATATACGGATGTATACATTGCTAGAGAGAAACCAACCAGTTGCTTTATGTAGCACAGCGCGTGGCCACGAGAGTCACCTGCCAAACTCCCCGTATGGCCAGGAGCTGCAGGACACGGGTCGCATCCCCGGAGCGCAGGGCCGCGCGACGCTGCTCTGCCCCAGCGCGCCCACCCCGCAGCCTGAGCCCGACTCCCTCCAGCAGCAGGGATCTGCAGGGCCTCTGACTCCCGTGGCGGAGCCGTGGTATTTCGCTCTATGTTAACGCTCGTGAAATTCAGAAGCTATCGGTGGCCACCACCTACGCAGTATTTCAGTAATGCCAATTAAAATGAAAAAATGGACTGTGCATAGGCAAAGCAGAGAAAATAAAATGAAAAAAGATCCTTTGCTTCCGATCAAGAATTTTGAGTTAGAAACCCCAGTTTGGAAGCAATTCTGCCCCCTTTGGTGTGCGTTTGGGGCTCCTCTTGAAGGCAGCATACACCCCTTAGAGTTGTGGGTGAGATCTGGCTCTGAAGTAAAACAGACTGCTTCGCAGCAGCTTTGAAATTTTCTTATTGTGGAGCACAGAGCAACGTGGATCACGAATCTACTTTTCTTCATGGTATTCCGTAAGTGTCCCAAAACTCAAACCTGGCTACAAAGTAAGTTGCCAAATGCAGTCACCAAGCTTGTACGTTATTTTTAGAATGACATCGATAAGATTAAGTTAAAAAGAGTTTTAAAAAACAAACTCTTCATTTTAATGCTGGCATGAATTTTGCACATCAAAACAGCAACAACAAACACCCAAATCTTTTAAATATGGGCAGTGTCCATCACTTTTTACTAGTACCTGCTTTCTTCAGTTAGCGATAGCTTACTGACATATATATGCGTATATAAGGAACAGTACTAATCCATGAAACATCACTTTTGGCTATATGTAGATGGGGATAGAAAAGCTTTGGTAATTGTATGTGATTTTACACTGCATACTTGTCATGAACACAAGACAGCAAGTTACCAGCAAGAAGAAGAGATACTGGCAGTATTACTTTTGCTTTTCCAGAAACACCATATGGACTTACATTCAAGCACACAAGTTACGCTTTTTCATATGCATGACAAACTTTCAAGACTGAAAAAAAAAATCAAAATTCAATTTTAAGTAACTATAGATCTGATCAATTTGCTCAAGTCTCTGAAGCTGCATACGCATTGCTCTATGTTGTCTAAAAAGAATGGCTTGCTGTACTGCACTGTACCTCCTGGTGCTGCAAGAAGGCTTTCAGTCAAGACAATGGCAGGATTAGGATTATCTAACAGAAACAGGGAACAGTTTAACGGGAACAAAGCTAGCTTCACTGAGGAGTTTGCCGAACTGCTAAATCAGAACTAATATTCCTCTATATTGAAAGTAGACAACTTTGAGTACAGTAACATATTTAGAAGTACACCAACCGTCACTTACTAGCCCATTAAGAACTTTTAAGATCTCTGCAGTAAAACCAGAGTCTAGTACCCAGAGAGCTAGGAAACTGTATCTTGGCTGTAACAGCGTCTGTATGAGTGCAGAGAAGTAGTTTTTCTGCATCAGTTTACAGTCTCCAAAATGCAATATGAAAACTGTATTAGCTTAGGTAGTACTCATCAGGAAGTACTTCAAAAATCACTTTTTTAAAGTCTCAATTTAAAAGTCTACAGCAGATTACACATGAAGAACACTTTTCAATGCAGTTAGTGAATTTTGGTTTGGGCACTTGAGAAATGTACTCAAAGACTGTTTTGGTGACACAGAATTGTACGACAGCCATAGCATTTCAATACGGTGTTCAAATATGAACAAAACTAAGGCATACAGATAAAAAGGCACTAGCTAAAAAACCAGCTGTTAAATAACTTATCATGCTGGTATACTGAGAGGACTGTTTAGCTACAGTAGGAATTGCAAATCAAGTGAGTTTTTAAGACTAAATTAAAACTGAGAAAGTAACAGATTTATCAATCAAGAAAAAAGTCAATTATACCCATACCTTTTTTCTGTACTGGCATGGATATTATCATCCTCCAAATTAAAAATGAACAATCTGCTCCTCGAACAGGACTGGGCTGGATCAAGGCTCACCCATTTGTGTTCCCACCAAATGGAACTTGTGTGAACGGTTATTCATCATTTTCCTCATTCCAGCCAAAGTTGGTTAAAAAATACACAGAAGTTTAATAAGATCGGCTGAAACAGCAATAAAAATTCTATTTGTGCCAGAGAGAGCCACGAGCAAAAAATGCCATGAAAGTTATCACCACTAAAGTCAAGTTATACAAGTCGTTAAACTTTTGTTACTTAATATGTGTAAACAGCCAGAATAATAAGATTCATTAGCAGATAAGTCCTTTGAAAATACACATACTCGCTATCAACCTTGACTCTTATTTTCTGCGAGTACAGCTTCATCTTGGCATTTACAGAAAAGCAAAATATAACCCTGCAACAGTATTCTTTCCATTGGTATTCTCTAATAATTGGACCTAGTATTCAAGCATAATTGATGACTTGAAAATGCCGGTATCTTCATTAGTAACATATTAAAAGTTGTCATCAGGGATCTCAAATCCACAACCCTTCTCTCTAATGGAATTTTACGCATGCAGTTCCGTGCACCCTCTGAAACTCTAGAGACAGGGTTTGTTAATTATCATGCCTGTAGTCCACAAAGTGTCTTGCAAACGCTCTATACAGAGGTACTACATAATTTAATACAGATCGTTTTTTTTGTAATACCCCAACACAACATTGAAGTGCAACATGCAAGGGGATAAATAGTACTAACCTTTTGGGAAAACAGTCTCATTTAAATTTGTATATATTTCTAGCTCAAAACATTAACAAATGGTTAGTAACCACATAAATTTACTGTAAGTAGCTTAGGTCAGCTTAGGGTGGGGGGACAAACAAAATAGCTCAGGCCTAATCTTGATTCATTTAATATAATTTTACTAGAATCACTTGAACTGGCAAAAGCCACCTTCTTATAAGAAGTACGTACTGTCTTTACTCAGCAGCTTTCTGATGTCAAAAAAGTTTAAGGAAGATGCATTCTGCAAATTCTTTTTCCAGTTCCAAAATGCTTACCATTGTCATGACTGAATGCCATTTTTAGAAAAGGCACAAAAGCAACAATTTCAATTATTTTCAATAATTAAAAATCACAATGAGGAAATGATATTGCAATATACATGAGCCAGCACTGCCTCACAGAAAGGACACAGTATTTATTAGAAAACTAGATTCTGAAAATGTTCAAGCTTCAGAGAGTGCAGTTTCTTTTTAGAATATTATCTTTAATTTTTATGAATGCTACAGATAAACCTGATTATGTTTTCCCTTTAATGTCCTTTTTTGGTAATAATAAATTTCCTTACCTTTTCAGGTATCACTGTCCACTACTGAATTTATATACATTTCCAGCTTGGTTTTGGTACCTTTTTGCTCTGTTTGAAATCAGTCATTTCAATTACACAATCTTTAAATTAGCTACATAAATTATTAGGCTCTACATTAAACCTCCCTCCCGTGCTGCCACTAAATTTTGCTTATAAAGCAAAGGTCCTTTACAGCAGAGTACACACAAATTCTCTTTAAAGGCTGCTTTCGTACCTTTTATCTATAGTTACAGAGAAACTAAAAATAAGTCAATACTAGTTGACTTTCATTTTGGCCTTCAAAATTTTCCCTGGTCAGGTTAATTCTTCCCATGCTTACAAAATGCTGCACAGTTATATACCCTGACCAAAACACACTATATGCTGGATAAAACACTCATAGAAACTGAAAAGGGCCACCACTCACAGTCTCAGGAGAGGCGGCTCAAAACAGAAGGAAAATCATTCTTACTCTGCTACAGGTAAAGTGATTAGGATAGATCCATACTCCTGCTTATGCTTGGTAGAAGATTTGGAAATTCCTAGAATAAATTCAGAAATCTCATGAGTTAACTGCCATGAGAATGGGTGTGTTTATTATTCTATGTCCATGCTCTTTATGATTCCGATAGCCCTCTAAGGATGCAAAACAGACAGGAGCCTGGGGACTACAGTGTATAACCTTGCCAGAGGGGACAAGGTTCACACCATCAGCCTGCTCTGTTTTTATGTAACAACAAAAGCAAGCAAGGAATTATCCAAAACAGTATGTATTATTTCACTTCTGTAGTCTTAATAGTTCCAAAATCCCTTTTAAATTATTTATATAGTGTAATTCTACAAAAATACGAGAGTTTGGACTTTTCTGTAGCAAAAAGTCAGTTATTAACTATACCTGATCAGCACCAGGCTTCTGGACTGAGGACTCATATTTCAGAGTTTTATCTTCTATTATTCTCTTTCACAAATGGAAAAAGTGATTAATTTATGTTTTATGACATTTAGAAACCTGATAAACATTGATCATCTGGATTATCAGGCTGCAGTAATCATACTCATGTTATTTAGTTGCTGGTTCACTTTGTGTTTTTGGCTTATTTTTCGTACAATCTTTTGTGCTGTGCCTTCTTGTTTAGGTGAATTCATCATCGTGGTCTTATGAAAAGTATAACCAGAGTTTTATCTTTTTCAGTGAGTTATTCCTAGTGTTAAAAGACGCCGGGCTTCATTTCAGAAATTTTCAACACATCCTTAATGACCGAACTGTTGCAAAACTTTTTTTTAAGTGCATAATGGGAAGAATTTTATATTATTCAGGCACTTGATGTTGACATACATTCCACCCTAGTGCCTCTCAACAGCTTTGAAGACATTATTTCTTATAGGTCATTCTGAATCAAATAACTCATATACTGCACAAGAATTAGCCTCTCCCGTTCCCCCCAACCATTCATGGGATCGTAGAGGAAGATTCTCTCCTCAATATCACTATTTTTTTCTTAGATAAGATAATTGTCTCCCTCCAAGCTCATGCAATAGAGGATTCTCTTTGGCAGATACAGCAGGAGGCATTCTCCAACTATTTACATCCAACAGCTGACTTCTGCTTATTATGGAAATTTTACCCTTGGAGTATAGTAGTTCCTAGGAGTCTGCATCCATAATCTGTTTACCTGTAAATCTTTTCCTATTAAGATAATATAGTTCTATACCAAAACCTCTATTTACTGAATCCATGTCAAGTTCTTTTTTGTTATTTTCTTTTGGTCACAGAGGAAGTACCAGGTAGACACGCTCCTAAACAGAGAGTTCCAAGTTCTTGCGGCTTTCTAAATTCTCAAAACTGTAGGTTTAAGCGTAAACTGTTGAATCTGGAAACCGATTAAAATGCTAAAATATAAGAACTTGGAACTCTCTGCTGCAAGTACCTGTATATACAAAGAACAATCACAGATAAGTAACCTTCTTGTCCTCTAGCTGCATGTCTGTTTTTCCCTGCACCCTGAGTCAGTCAGCAGTGTCAGAAAAAGTCACACAGTTCCTGACTGTCCAATCATTTGTCTTTTTTTTCCTCTTTAAATAAGGAACAAGTATGTACTAAAGTGCTTTATCTACATGAACCACATCAGTACATTATAGAAATAAAAAGTTCTAGTCCTGTTGGGAGCGGGGGAGGGAAGATTCTCATTTTACATACAAAATTTAGATTGTTTACAATCTAAGTGAAAGAAAGATTCAAGAGAATGTGTTCTCTCTCTTGTCTTTTTTCTCCTTTTTTTTTGTAAAAAATAAAAAATAAAAGTGCAGTCAAATAGAAAATAAATGCAGTAGATGCAAGCTGAGTTGAGGCAGGCTGTTAGTGATAGTGTGCAAACGTGTGTCTTAGCAGTTCATCTGCAAATGGTCGCAACTTGGCCTCGATAAAAATCCGTTTCAAGAAATCCCGAGCATGGTCCGAGACATGAGGTGGTAACTGGGGGTTGGTTGGCTGAGTGGCGATTTTAAAGATGGCAGCCATTGCTTCAAACTCTGCCCAAGGGGGCTTCTCAGTGAGCATTTCTACCACTGTACAACCTACGCTCCTGAAACAGAGGCAAAAGTGAAACAGCAGGTTACAACAGAGTCATGCTCTTCTAGGAGAACAAGAAATATCACATAGCTACTAAAATACCACAAATAAATAAGTGTTGTCCGCTTAATGCTCCAGAGCGATTTCAATTGAAAAAAGGATTTCACACACTTGTACATACAGCTGTACTCTTTATCTCAAAGTTACACAAATCACTACCTACCATCTTCACTTTATTTCTTCACTGGGCCAAAAGCAACTACCTCAGTGAAGAAATAATTACATTTTTATCTAGACAATACTGATTGTATTATGACACTGCTACTATTCAGATTCAGATCTAGTGCTCAGCAGGCCAATACAAGTCAAGAACATTACAGAAACCTCGGACTCCAGCTCTTTAGACTCCTTCAGGACGTGAATGTACTTGAAAACTTTCTTGCTCATTATGTCCTAATGGAAATGCAAAGCAAACTGCAATGCTCTACATTAAAATAAATCAGAACATACTACATAAATTTGGATAGCTCATTAGAAATGCATAATAATACCACTTAATAACACACAAAAATTTAACATGAAAGTTAAAAAGTTCATACCCATACTTCAATGCTATTTTCCCCTTTTAGCTAAGGGTACTAAAAAACACACTCCAGATCATCAGGCAGAGTTTTAAGAAAGATCATACATGATCTGTGGATGGGAAGCTTACATTTAAATGATTTCTGAAGGCAGAAGGGTGTGCATGTCCAGAAGAACTTTGCCTCATAAGCCCCATAAGTTCCACCTCTGTCAAAAATATGTGAACGATGCTGCCAAATAGATGGGTTGGAATAGTTTCCCAGGTTTCAAGAAATTTTATGGTAGGACAGAGGTTCATTTCTTACTAAATGCCCACTGTCCAGTTAAGGATTTATTCGACAACAGAAATTCAACTTCAGTATTTCTTAATATTAACCCATCGAAAAAAATGCATTAATCTTGATGCAAATACTTCAAAGCTGAACAAGCCAATTACCACAAATCTATAAGGCTATTCCATAAGTACAGCAGGATAATTACTAAGTGATCTATATTAGGCTAAATGAATTTCCCTGATATGAAAGTATTGCTCTTGGCTGGATGTCACGTGGCTCCTACTATTGTTTTTAAGCACACAAAACATTATTGCTCCTACTTATCTTCTCCTGCTCAACAATTATTCCGTGCTCACAGATCACTTGCAATATAAGGAGTCTAGTGGCTGAAATCATGCCTGTCGAGCTTGTGGTATGTTAGACTGTGATATTACACAGTATATCACAAATATTCATCTTTGAAATTTGTCTTTCCATCTTCATTCTTGAAAATTTAGTAATAACTCACACCAATACTTTTTTCCTACTCTCCTGTTTGAATTTGGCAAATTCATTCTTAGGCGCTCATGTTTTAAAGGACCGATATTTCATTTCGTGCCCTGCAAAGATATTTTTAGTGATAAATGAAGTTCCAGTAAGCAAAGTATTAATTTATGGGACACTGATTTATCTGACATTTCCAAGCTTCAGTGTAGCTTTCGTCCAGTAACTCACCAGGATTTATGAAGAGTCTGGTACTCCTAACTTCATGCAAGGTTGGTTCAAAGGATTCTCATAGGATCCCTAAATCAATGGGCACAGGAATTGGCAAACCAAAATTCCCAGATTTCTCTGATATTTTCTCAAATATGACTGTCACTGCTCACGCTTGTCACTTATTTCAGCTTAAACCCCAGAACAAAAACCATTCCAACTTCAGAGAGCACCTGCATTCCCATGAGAACAAGCCCGTTCTGAAATGGTGCCTTTCAGCAGGGAAGCTTTCTGACCTACCAGATATCTGCTTTTCTGCCATATCCTTCTCCACTAATAACTTCTGGACTCATCCAGTATGGAGTGCCTGTGACAGACTTCATTCCCGTACCAGAGAGACAGATAGTCTGGAGTCGTTTGCTGGCACCAAAATCACCTAGCTTCACGTTGCCTGCTGAATCTCGCAGGATATTTGCCCCTGGAAGAAAGAGAATGTAGAATTACATTCATGAAAGGCCCATTAAGTCTTTGGAGCAGAAAACAGCAGCAAACATTTGATTCCACTGATACAACACAAGATGGGCCCAGTATTTCAAGCCAGAGAATTTACTTTCTCTGCTCCTTCCTATCACACTACTTCTGAGGTTCAGAAAATAATCAATTGTTCATATTGTTTTGCATCGTAGGCCTTTCTGAGGAAGCTTCAGTCACTTTTGTAAAACCCTAATGGCAAAACAAGCAACACGCCAAATATGTTTTAATATAAGAGAAATAAAAAGAAATGGGATGGAAGTTTCTACAGCACTAAAAATATCTTGATACTGTATTAAAGCAAAATCACAAACGATATAGATTTGTTCAAAACAATCATCTTGCATAAGCATGCACAGATTGACAGTGACAACTCAACCTTTTGGAAAAAAAAACTATTGATCTAAAAAGCAACAGGAAAACAATGTAAAAGTTTTAGGGAGTACGGTGGCATTTTGTCCAACACACCTTTTTTGCACACCATTGGTCTTACTACATACTCATAGCTTACTTAGGCAGCACTTAGGCATCACCCATATCTTTTTCCAAAGAGTAAATGTTTGTTCCATTAGTTTTCCTGGCTGGAAAATGGAAGAAGACTGAATCATTTGGCTCACGCAAGTCACCTCTGCCAGTAAGTTCTTTTAACAGCAAAGTGCTAGGTAATTTTTATGTAACTGATAGAAATGAAACTGCATACATATAAGTACTTGAGAGTCATGATGTTTTCCACTGCATGTTCCATCTATTTGTAATGACATGAGCCTTTGATATATTAAAAACTATTAACACATACACAAAAAATCAGAACTAAAATTTACGATCGTTTTGCAGAGAGACTAGGGAAACATCTTTAGAAGTCTTAAAACAGTACAAAGATGCTTTTTTTCCTGCCTCAGTTTACAACAGTGATGAAGATAAGTGATGAAAGGCAATGTTTTTGTGATAGTTTTACATTGATTCTCAGTATTTTAGAATTTCAAACTTAACTTTTAGTATTTTACACTAGAATTGAATGTGTAGTAAAGAGCACAGAACTGTGCACAGAACTATCCTTATTACCTTTAATATCTCGATGGACAATCATGTTACTGTGCAAATAGTGAACTCCTTCCAAAATCTGCCGCGTATATTTACGAGTCACATTCTCTGTGAGTGCTCCATATGACTTTAATTGGTCTTTGATGGAACCCTATGGTAAAGAAAGAGTATGAAACACTAACATTTCTAGAATCATAACCGGGTTAATGCTACAGCTGAACCCCCATGAAGTTTATGCCTAAAAGGCAGACGTTGTAAGTTGCAAGACTTCTCCACTACCCTCCACTAAAAAAACACTCAAACCTTTACTGAAATGCTGGACTACTAACGTCAAAACTATCAAATAACTTAATAGTGCCAGCCTGTTGTGCAGAAAAAGAGAACAACATTCAACACCATTCCTGAATGTTTTGATGATTCAATGATGACACTCAATTTGGACCTGCACAGAAAAGATGCCGTTTACCCTGGTTAATTTATACCTGGGGTTTAAAAAAAAAAAAAAAAAAAGGAAAAATCTGAAAGCTGGAGGATTGTGCTTCACATCTACATAAAAATTAAAAGCTAGATAGGCCTTGACTTAAAATAACATTCATGGTTTTATAAATATCTTTGCATAAAATGGCTTTGTCATGCAGAAATACCAACTAAAATTACTTCTTTGATACTGTCCTCCACATCTCAGGAAAAAAAAAAAAAATCAAGAAGTCTCCAAAAACAAAGCCCAAAACTCACCTAAAAATACCATTTTTCTTCTGTGGAATCTCACAGTAAAGTAGAATGCTGTAACTCTATTCAGAAATATAGATCCTATGTTTTTATAAGAGCACATTTTATTCAGCTCTGCTAGTCCCACTTGGTGAGAAAATGAAAATCTACAGTTTTCAGAGCACAGAATAGATCTTGACAAAATAGCAAAAGCAGAACAGTTAAATGTGTACACGAGAGCCACGCAAAAGACAAGTACCAATGTTATTTTTAATGCACTTATTCCCACACCTATCTTAACTACTTTTTCTCGAAATAACTGAGCAGCTGATACGGCGACTACACAACAGCATAAGCTGAAGTGCAGCAGAAAGAAACATTGAGCTTTAGGGAGATTCCAGAGTCTACTACTACTAATATTGTCTTTTCAAAGACAGTGCTAGGCAATTCTTATGCCAAAATCAAATGAAACCAGTTTTTGTACAAATCGCTGTAATTCTGAATACATGAACAAACAATGGAGTAGAGAGTCAGACTGCTTTAAGTACCCCCGAGTACCTATCCTTGGCTGTTGTTTTTACTTGGGCGATTCTTTAATATCTGCTTGCACTGCCGCAAAAGCTGTCTACTTGGGTGCATGTCACATTGTGTCGAAACGATGGTTGAAGTGGGCTGGTTTTCTTGCTTACCCCAGGCATATATTCCATGAATATAGAGAGCGTTCTTTCTGGTGGATCTCTCAAGAAGCCGTAATACTGAACAATTCTTTCATGAAGCAGATTTTTCAGCAACTGAATCTCACATTCAAGTGCATTTACTTCCTAAAAGGAGGAGGAAAAAAAACTATGTATGTATTTACCACATCTGATCTAGTAACATTAAAATAACGTTTGGTTTTTTTTTTTTTTGCCAGGTACCTACTTAAGGGATATGCAAACTAAGCAACACTACTACTCTTGTAGGTTATGTAAAGTTTACACATTTTACCATAGGAAAATACTACAGTTAGACTGAGGAAAAAAAGTGTTTGCTTTCTATAAATTGGCTTTGGAACCATTTTGCTCTCATTTCATTGTTTCTCCTATTCTGAAGTTGTATCCGTTTCAGAACGCAGCAGATAGGAAGATGTGTATGCACTCAGAAGTCATTTCATAACATAAGCGGCCCACTGAGTAAAAAAAAGTGGGGTTTTTTTGTTTTTGTTTTAAGTCTTTCTACTGGATTAACTAGAATTAATTCTTAACTTTTCCAACATATCAAGGTTTTTGCTTGGGAAGGACTGGTTAACGTTGTAATCGTGAGATACAGTAAACAAATCACACGAACAAATAAGGTGCTCTCACTAGAGTTACCTGAAATGCTTTACTTCCCGTTTGTAAAATTTACTGTGTATCTTTCAAAATGCTCTACAAATTCAAATTCCACTGGATTCTAGATTTCATCCATGTCTTTCATCAAAATTTATTTTTTAATCCATCTGAGTCTACTGATGATACCCCTCCCCCCCGCCATGTTTCTGAAGTTAGAAGGAAAACAGATTTTTGACACTGACAGAGGCACATTACAAAATCTATGGTGAGGTTACAAAACTATTGCTACAGGAGAGATTCTGCACTTTTCCTTTGTTTGTTTGTTTTTTAATATTTACCAATTGTAAAGCAAAATCAGCTGTTCTGTTATATTTTCAAAGAATTAGCAACAACAACTACACTAGAAATCTACAGCACAAGTGATTCTTGTTTTTTTTCTGGATCTGACATCACTAGTAACAGCAACTATAACTGGTAGCCACTCGATTCTGCAATAATGCTTACACCCATTGCTCCCCAGGCCATGCTGCCCACAGTGTGGAATGCAGTCCTACTGCAGGAAAATTAATAATTCTTTTTCCATCCTGTAAAAAGCAGCAAATACAATTTGGGAAAAAAGAAATAGAAGACTAGAGCTAATTACACTGTTTCTCTTCTTAAACATCCAATATTTGAAGGACAAGCTCAATTTCAGAGAGATAATAAACTGTCAGCGAAAGCTGTGCTCTTCAGAGAGAAGCACTGCCAATCACAGTAGCTAGCCCTGATGCCCAAAGCATTACCAAAAAAGCCCAGCAACCCATACCCCCAAACCCATAGTTTTCTACACCTTATCCCCCTTTAAAAACAAACCAAACCAAACACCTTTATGCAATGAACTATCAAGCACAGGGAGAACAACAGCTGAACACCTAAGCAGCCTCAGGGTGCGATTCGTCAGATTTTTTCAGAAACAAAAGTTTTTCTTTTTAATCTGACTCATTCCAGTTTTTGTTTTTTTTTTTAAGTAACCCCCCCCCCCCCCCCAAGACATCTGTAGATTCTGGTTTAACAAGCAACCATGAACAATTGGACTGTTACAACTAAAAGGACTGTAAACTATTGAGGGACAGGTGGAAACTATCAGCCAGGATTAGCAGGATAAGAATCTCAAACTGTCTTCATGGCCAAACAAAAAAATCCTTAAGATTTTATTTTCAGGAACAACACTTAAATAAGGACAGAATTTCTGTTTGTATATATAATTTTTTCTAGCTCCTATACTAATTTAAGTAAAATAATTATCCATTTCAGAACACACTTCATAATTGCTTAATTTTATGAACAGAAAATGCCCCAAATTAGGTCATGCATGTTCACTGCATATGGATACATCTGAAAATGAAAATACACGATGCAGCACTAAAATCAGTTAATCACATTAATTCATCAAGGTATTAATAAAACAAGATTCCTAACAAAGTCATAACCCCCCCACACACACACATTTTAAAATATTTTTCACATTTGGGGAAAGGAACAACATGAGTCTAGCACATACCACTTTAGCAGAAAACCTTAATAAACTCCCTCTTTTATATCACTTACCTTGCTGGTTTCTGGACTATCAGGATCAAACTGAACTTGTTTAACAGCAAGTTCTCTTCCAGTATCAGCATCGTAGCATAGGTATACTCTGCCAAATGCACCTTGACCAAGCAGTTTACCAAGTCTCCAGTTAGTTGGAGCTCGCGGTGCTGAAAATATAAGTATGTTTTGGTTTTCAAATGAGCTTGTTATCCAGCTGATCGACAAAAACTGGAATACACAGAAAATAACTTTTTTTTTTTTTTTAAGACTATGCTTTTTCCACAACAAAGACAGTGTGTCCTAAAGCTCTTCGTGTAAGCTACAACGATCAATAAGATTTCCTTTAAGATGGAAAACCATGAGCTAAATTCTTTCACAATACAGTTTCCAAGACAGACATGTGCTTAAAGGAATTAGTAACAGCTAGTCTGAAAAAGGCAAAAGTATGTTAAGGAAACTTAGTAACACTTTTTAAGAATCAAGGGATGATTAAAATGTACCAGTTACAAAAGTCATCATAGAAAGTATTTCTGCTCCTGAAATACCACCATAAACGTAAAACAATATCAACGAGAGACTACAATTTACCAGAGAAGTTGACTAACATGAACAAAAATAAATAGTAACTGCATCCTATGTGATGCTTCTTGGTTCCTCAATAGTCTAATATATCAGAAATTGGGGGGTTTTTGGGGTTTAAGTGATTTATTATCACGGGTGTAAGTTCCAAGTGAAAATCTACGTGAAAGTTGGCACAGTAAGCAAAGAAAAAACTGCTCGAGAATATAGTCTTGACCTTTTCCTATTAGGGAGACATTATTCAATTGCATGTATTTTGATGACGTGTTTAGTTCTGACATCATATACTTGGAAGGTGATAAGAAGAGTTTTTATTGCAGAGTTCACCAAGTGCCTTAACTTACAGCGACTGGGTGGGCTGATGTCCATGACTGACAAAGTCGGATTGTCTATATCGCTTCCCCTTCTCCTCATTCTGTTATCTTCATATTCTGGTGTAAAGACGCTGCTCCCGCTACTCGTGCTCAGTGAGTGATCAGTGGGACTGAAACTAACTGGTGATCGGAAGCTGTTTCCCTGAGTCCTTCTGGCTCTTGGAAAAGTTTTACGGCCTGCAATGATACACAAAGAATATTAGTGTTAACACCATGACAAATAACTACTACGCAAATATATGCATGCATACACCTAATGAATTGCACATAATTCAAGTCTTCCACGGCATATGATACAATATAACGATCATGGAACGTACTGGTTCAACTTTCCAGCTAGAAGAAAGGCATTTATCACAGATGCATGCAAGGACTATACTGAATCATAAGATGGTTTACGTGACCAAAATCACGAGCAGTTTAAAAAAGGCAGTTTGTGGATTTATTCTGAAATTTAACTGACACAAATTTGGGGGGGGGGGAGGGAAGTGGGAAGACGCACTGCTCGCTTCAGAACTGCCTCCGTTCTTGCTGCTCGGTTACAACGTCTAAACTCCTGATAAAAAGGAGAGAAAGACAGATATGTTTACATTCCAGCGATGACCAGGCTGGCATCTTCACCCTGTGAAGGGATAAGAATTGAAAGCAGAGAAATATCGACAGTTAGAATCAATAGGATGACCACGTGGGGGGAAAAAAAGTGTATGTGTATATATGTGTGTGCGCACGTGTGTGCGCGCGCGCGCGCACGCGTGTGTATATATATAAAACAATATACTGTATACGTGTGTGTACACACATACGCAAACAACAGATGACTCAGAGATGACTACAGCATTAGAATAAAAAGGGACATTGATTTTCAAAGAAAATGATTACAACCAGATGCTTAACAGCTTAATTAAGAAGAATTCTTGGAAGTTTTCACGCTTACCGTCATTGTAGTCTTGTTGATGGTATGAAATATGATATCTTCGGGGATAAGTCCCACCCTTTCCAAATTTCTCAAATATTGGGATATCGTACTCTACTAGAAAATAAAAGGAAAATACATTTCAAAATTAAAAACATGATGAAAGTATATTGAATAAATCAGTTTGGTATTATAAGTCTCAGCATGGGGGAACATATCAGAGGACACAATTCAAAATGAAGTGTCACAGCAAAACAGATTATAGAGCAACCCACAGAACACTAACAAATCACAAGAAATAAAGAACATTCATCCAAAAGTTCTAAAGGATCTCAAGAATTCAATAGCTCAAGTGTGATTTGTAATTTCTTGCTTAAAAGAGTATGAGAGGACTGCAGCAGGCTAATAACTCAAATTTTTAAAGTAACTTCTAGGGCTATTCTGGGACATTACAGTTCCCTAGGAAGAAAACTAGCAGGAACTATTACAAAGAATGAAATTAGACTGTGCTAGCAGGCATGGGCTCAGTTTGGGAAAAGCGAGCAATGAGACCAGTGTTGCTCAGTAGGTCCTCCTTTAAAAACCTATTAAAGGAGAAAAATAATCATAAGATAAAGCGGAAAGTCCTTCATGGATAAGTATTTGGTTAGAGGATAAGCACAAAGGATAGGAGTGAACGGTCAGCAGCTCCACAGGGATCTGGGTGACAACTTACATAGTTTAATTAAGCCTGAATTTTCTGGACAAAACAATGAATACTGAGGAGACTGAGCAATTCACAGCAATAAAACCAATAGAAGAATTCCAGAGAGACCTTAAGAGTCTAAGTGACTGGTTGTTAAAATGGCAGATGAAATCCAGTATAGACTAGTGTTAAGCGTTGTGATAATGTTCCAAGAAAACATCAGCTCAACACTGAGTGCTGGCTGAGAAGCAAATTAAACGCTATAAATTATGAGGATATACACAACAAACTTTTTGTCTACTCCATTTCAAAAAAGAATTTAGTAAAATTGGAAAAGGTTTAAAAGTGCAACGATGATCAAAGATACAAAATTGCTTCTCCGTAAGGAGTGTAGGCCTCTACAGCCTAGAAGAGCAATAGCATAAGGAGGGACATGAGAAGTCTACAAAAACCACGAGGGGCATGATGCTTCATACAACACAATGAGCTGTACGACTTCTTTCTACAAGATATTGTGGATGCTAAAAAACAAAAACAAACAAAACAACAACAAAAAACTTCTACAGGTTCAAAGGAGGACTGGACAAATTCATGGAAAAAAAACCCAATAAAGCACAAAAGAGCATCCTGCATCTGGCAAAGTCCTAAAGCCTGACATCTCTAGGAATACATTCTAGGGAAGGAGTATTACATGCTCGTTTAAGGAGGCCTGATAGCAGTTGCGGCAGGAGAAAGACGACTGCGCCAGATGGACATTTGTTCTGATGCTACATGCTATTCTGTTTTTGTTACACACCAACTAATGCGGACAGATATTGAGTATGTGCTTATTAAATGACTGCTGTCTATCCCATCACTAACCAACAAGGGCATCCTGCACCAGGGAGCGGCAGCAACATACAGAGGAACACTCTGACATGGTCTTATTTAAAAAGTTAGCATGATGAATTAACACAAACAGGCTAATTGTTATCAAAGGCAAACTGATTTTTGACATTTCCCACATTTTTGATGTTTATCTCTACAACGTAAATGTTACTTAAACACAGTTATACTTTTAAGAGTGATGTAGTCTGTTAAGCCCTCTAGAATCATTAAAAGAAAAACATTTAATGATTATGTAGATAATCAATTGCATGATTATGCGGATAAAGCTTCATAAACAATGTGAAAAGAAGCCTTAAAATATACAATAATTAAAAAAAACGACATAAAAGAACACCCTAGATTCACTGGAAGCTAGTTATTGTTCAATAGTATAATTCTATTTCAAGGCATGTCCGCAAAAGACACCTCAAACCACTTTCAAGGTTACTCACTGCAGTTGGTATCCTGAACCACGCACAACAATTTGGATTCATGCCAGAGTATGGTATGAAAACAACATTAGTGGTGATGATTGATTAATTTATAGGCCCAGCACACAGTCCTCCTTCAATCTTTCACTTTGCAGTATTTTCCATCACAGCAATCACGAGCACTTAAAAATGGTTCTCATTTCACAGAGGAGAAAATGGAGACTCTTAACATTAAATACATTTACCAAGGTTATGCAATAATTTAGGGACAGACATTACAGTTCAGTCTGACTCACAGTTGTGTGCCTCTATGCACTGCATCATTTGTTGTTCTCAGAGAGGCAAGTATGTTAGTAGTATACACACTGGTAGCAGTGCTATGCATGTGATGAGCTAAAAGAAAGATTTTGCAAGGAAAATCTTATCCTTCATGGCATCTTTTATTGTGTGCAACTAGTAGTTGGATTGTTTGCTTCCATACTGTGTTGGTATAATATGTTACCTCTCCATGCGAACTTTTCCTCTAAGCCCTATTACTTGCAAGAGACTGAATTTTAGAAAGCTAGTATGTTCAGTGATTTTTGCCTACCTGAGAACTCCTGATGATTATCTGGATAGCTCTGTGCTCTTGGCATCCGAGATTTGGGGTAGTTGTCTCTAGAAGCATAAAAAAAAAATACAGGATCTAAAAACTGCTGTTAATCTAATGAAGTATTCAAAACATTTACCATCTAATTACTTATGACTGTAGTGCTATACAAGTTGCCGCACCTTGTCTACAGACATAGAACTTAAGTTAAAAAAAAAATCTAGTAGGTATCAATAATAAAGATCAGTAACAATGGAAAAGCTTGCCTACAAAAATTCTTGACAAAGTTTAACCAAGGAAATGCAGAACCTTTTAACATTTCTCAAAGTATTTCTTCCTCTCTCCATGAAACTCACAAGATTAAGAGAGCAACTTCACTGAGTTGCAGAATGCTGAAGAATTTTTGGCTTCCTATGTGATCATGTTATTCCCTATCTACAGTCACTGTTACATAACTCCTATCAACAGGAATAGATGGGATTTGCCAGTCAGTCAGAACAACCCATTACAGTATATTTCCATAAGAATACTAAACCAGTGTAAGTTCTGGTAAGACTTTCTCTACTAGGTAACAGCAGTTAAACAGAGACACAAAACCTACACTCTTGTAGGAAATATCTGAACAGAGGGGGGAAAAAAAACAAACCCGCAAAAAAAAAAAACCCACAAAACCCCACCCTCTGCACACTAAGTAGATGGGACAAACGAAGCAAATAATAAAAGAAAAAAATAACCAAAGAAGGTTTTGAAGGGGAAACATTATAAACTCTTCCTCTCTACTCACCCTGACCCAACAAAAAAAATAAAAATTTGGCAAGTGACAGAATTTTTATCCTAACTACAGTGTATAACCTATTATGCTCCAGCCACAAAATTTTTCAAGTCTATTATTCTCTCGTTTGTGAAATGCAGACATATTATTTAACTCAAAAACTTATAAATAAGACCAAATGTGTTTGCGTCCTCAAATCACACATTCTCAAATGAAAAGGTACTATGGAAGCTAGAAGTACCTGTAATTCTACTAGTGTATTATCTCTACAAAACTTTAATGTATTTTCAAAACAAGCCACTTGCTAAATGTCTTTATTCTAGAAAAAATGAAGATATGCAAGACAAATTTTACCGTAAAAATCAGCTTCTAGGTCAAAAGTTTAAGGTCTACCTTTAAGTTAATGTTTCGTTTCTAATCAACCACGTACTGCATTTACAAAAAAGATCTGTTAAGTTTTATTCGTAAAGGACCTACTGCAGTCTGTAAAATATAACTGCTACAAATTAGGTGTCTGAGCTCCTATGACACTAGACAGTTATGTAATAATATCATGTTCTTTTTCACAGGGTCCAATATGCTGGCTTCCTTAGAGAGCTATTTGCACAGCGTTCCTTGACGTGGAGCTTGCAATTCTGACGCGTGTGGAGCACCAAGCATTATGGTCACAAACCGCTTGGAAACCAGCGTCTTACAGCGAAAGGTTATTCTGGCTCGGCTCAATTTCTGTTGTAGGGAAATGTTGCTGCTGTTTCTTTGCATGCACAAACAGAGGAAGATCAAGTGGTCTTGAGGTGATTAACCTGCTGTTTAAGCTATACTTCTCACCACTCAAAACAAAAATACTTTTGAAATATCACAAAATGTATCCATATTCTACATTTAAGTTTCCAAACCCTGTTTACATACTGTCCCACAGAAGAGAAATACCTTCCCCAAAACATACGGTGAGGGCCTATCAAATTTACCCCGCAGCCTCCTGCCCCTCCATAGATGGACCCCAAACAATCTAAGTGCTTGCCAGGAAAGATGAACTTTGCAGCACGCCTGGAAGAAAAACAAGTTCATCCACAGTGATCTCCTCCAAACATAAAAGTTTGGATAAAAAAAAAAAAAAAAATCTACCTCAGCCGTAACTGGCTGTTCTGCATATACGACTGATACAACACATGGAATCACTGTCCAACTCCAGATAGGTGGAGTAGAAGGTCAGAAGTATATACTCATACATATCACGTTCTGGACAAAGACTTTAACTCAAGCTTACTGATTGTCGTCCTAAACACCTAATCCAAGCAGGCTTATGACAACTATTCATCTGCTTATTTCTTCTGCAAAATTCATCTCTAACGGTGAATATTCTACTTTAAACAACAGCAGCAAAAATCAACAATTCATCTGTAAGATGTTCAATTGTATTTGCAATATATTTGTGAGAAAACCTGTAGCATTCAAAAAATGTTTACCAACAGGAATCCTATAGCTCAGACTAATCGCCACAGGCAATAATATACAACATTTTACCTCTCAACTAATTAAATACAAATATTTAATTAGCAATATTATTTGTTCACCTACGCCAAATAAACAAGTAGCCAATCTGCACAACGTAACACCCAAAGCTATTTGCCTGACACACCAGAAGCCAAACAGGAGTATATTCTGTTTGGCTTACCTGGCAGCTGAGGAACCGTGGACAGTGAGTGAGCCTACGCATCTCCTGACAGGCCAGGCAAAACAGAGCTCCAGACCGACCACAGCATAGGCTGCCTCCTGCTAACTGGCAGGTTTAAACAAGGAAAAATAAGTGGAAAGTCTGCAACAGGAACAAGGGAAGAGGAACGGACTCCTCTCTATGTTTCAAGTTTAAATCTTGAGGAAAACAATAGGAAAAAAAAAAAAAAGGAAGCTATATTTCTCTTCCATGCCTTAGCAATTAAATTCCAATACACTTCTCTGAATGTTCTGTATTACAGAAGAATTTCTAGAACAAGGTCAGTAATGTCACTGAAGAGTTATTATATGTTACAACTGGTACATTAAGCAATCTAATAAAAACAAATAATGAACTTAAGTAATTCTTACCCATCTAAAGGGCTGTCAAGTGACGGACAGCTTCCTGAACCAGAATTTTCAGGACTACTCAAAGACAATGGATCCAGCATCTAATAAAATAACAAGCAGAGAGAGAGACCAACAAGTTCAAGTTTTTCTTTTTTGAAATGCTTTAAGGGTCTTGCTTTGAAACTGCTAATAAAACAAAACAAAAATCACGTTAATTAGAAGAGTCAACAAAAAGTTAGATGCTGTAATTGAACCAGCGCTATATGCAGTCTTTTTTGCTGAACGGATGCCGTCATTTTTCTCTTACCTAACTAGACTATAATTAAGGTATTTAATTCTTTACCTTGTTCTGGAAATTGAAACTTATACTGCTACATTCTTCCTACATGCTCTATAGTCTGTTACTACATAGCCATACTGGAATGAAAGTAGCTTAATAAAATACCTCTAAAGGGGATTTTGACAGAGATAAGTTTTCAGTGTTTTAAAAAAAACCTGTTGTCAGCACTGAAGAAAACTTCAAATATGGCAGACAGTGTCATGGATGCAACTTACATCACCTCTGCCGTGATTTAAGTTTGGCCAACTAAGTTACAAAAAACATCAGAAACAGAATTCTCTGAGAAGCTCTCAATTATCTCTAAGACTCCAAACAAGCTGTGCAGGAAGTAAAACTGAACAGAAAACTGAAGGATAAAGAAGGAGAAGGCATAAAATTTATAAATGCTCTTTCTTTTCAGCCAAACTAAAATTCTGTTTCAATTAAAATAAAAATTTAATCTGAAATTGGAATTTAAAGAGAGCACTGAAGCCAATTTTTTTTTCCCCTAAAAACACTTCTGATGACCTAACAATCCCTGTTCATGACCTGTGTGAAATCTCTTACTTACCAGTCTAAAAAAATCATAAAAGCTGAAATTCTAGGCCAGATCCATTAAATAATGGAAATAATAATCAATGCTACTTTCCCTGTTGTTCATTTTCTAATGTAGAGAAAAAGAAGTGGATTGGTAGTCGAGAGAATACTCTTGACTACCAGCTGTTTGTACTGGCTGATGTTCATTTTGTTTACTGCACACTACCACTTTTAATGGCCTAAGTATAATGACAGGCAAACATCACTCCCCTTTCTTTTAGGGTAAAAGAATTTGAAATGTTTTTAAAGAGTTAGCTTTCAGAAGTGGAAACCGAATGTGGATCTTGAATATAGCATACACCTGCCAATTGAACCAGCCTACCTCTCAAAAACAGACCAAAAAGCTTATCTGTTGTCTTAGAACAAGCTCCTTCCTAATATGTAATTTATTTTAATGTCTTACATAACCTATTTGTTATTTTCTGTGAATTGGACAACAGTCTATTGCTGCCAATTGTTTATCCCCTCAATTTTTGCGGTCTGCGCTGCAGCTTACAGATCCTGGGAACACACATTGTTGAGTACCCATCAAAAGTAGCGTCCAGAAAGCAAGTCTGTACTCTGCATATTCAGACATATGCAATAAGCTCCATATTGGGAAGAACAACATTCACCGTAGGTCCAGCAGTCATATTCCGCTTTTCTCATGTTGAGCAGTGGGTCCAAACAGGCAAAAAAGCCAACTGGTTCTGCCAGATGAATTACCTCTGCAGCTTACCGCAATATGCTCCTAAACAGCAGCCCATGGCGGCTTCCATATCTAATCCATCACCCACTCCCCGCGAGGGAGCAGGGGTCCGCTGCGAGAGCGGGAAGAACACACCGAACGGCTGGGCTGCCACAGACCAACGAGAGTGGCGCAGAGAGGCCTTGTCACTGCAGCAAGCGCGGGAGGGTGCAGGAGGCAGCAAAGCTCCATCGGGTGGCAGTGGCCACCCTCTCTCCTCCGCTGCCATCGCGCTAGCATGGCACACCTCTGCCAGGCAGAAGTGTTTGGTCTCTTCCTCATTCATTCTCTTCTACTTCCACTCGCAAATTCCCTTCTTGTCTGTGCCAAGGAGGCTCTGACAGATGTAAGCAGCACGCTCAGCACTTGCCAAGGTGCAGCAGCAATTCAGAGGGGAGGGAACGAACAGAGGACATGGGATCCCAACGCTCTCATGGCTGCTCAGGCTGAATTCATCTAATTTCCTATGAAAGTAAAATTCCTGTGTTTAAACCCTGCTGACAGCTCACATAATGATGCTTACATGACACGTTACACATTTCTTAAATGCTCTGGAGTAAATGACATGCTGGACCTCAGAGCTCCTCTGTCCACCTGACCATGCAGTGACCAAAAATGACTTTGCCCAGGTCATGAATGAATCCCGGCCTGGGCTGGATGCAACCACGTGGTTATCGGTCTGGAAGTTAGGAGATTCAGCCTCTATTCCCAGCTCAGCCATTTACATTGTGCAACAAGTTGCACAATCTCTTTGCCTCTATTTTTATTCTATCATCTGTCTCTCATTTACCCAACTCAAAAAAAAAAAAAAAAACCCCACTGCCTGTTGCCGTTTGTCCCTAAAATATCTCTTTCTCCATTGCCAATTCTGTGACCCACTACATTCCTCCATCCTTTCCTGTTTTTAAGGGGAACATTACTATTCAGAGAGCGGGATTTTCTCTACATGCTACGTAAGCTGACATGCTGCCAATATAGCACATAGATAAGGGGAATAAAATACCATGCCTTTATGATCCTCACACAGAAATCGTAACTGTGGAAAGGATTTCAGAGGTTATTTATACCAGGCCCATCTCTGTCCCCTTGCCTCTTCCATAAAACACTGTCAGCTGAGTCCAAATAACTTCTTACAAACGCTTGTCCAAACTGTTCTTTAGAACTTGCTTTGATACGGATAATCTGAGGAAGTTGTGGAATGAATTCTGTTTAAGTATCGTTCTCACTAGGAGGAAGCTTTTTTGTGCTTTCTAACCTAGATACCTCTTGCTGTAATTTATGCCTATTGCTAGCTTACTCATCTATCATGAAAATGAAGAATAAGAATATCTTTCTCCTTGTAGTAACATATTTAAATATTTGAAGACTTTCAGAGACAAACCAGGTTCTACAAGACTAAACAACCATCACTATTTTAACCTCTTCTCACAGATCGCGTTTTCTGGACCTCTCATCTTTTTTCTTTTTCCTTCTGTTCTTTCTAATAATTCCATATCCTTCTTCAAGAGCAGTGCTGAAAAGCAGATAAAGTAATCCAGCTGAGGTCTTATCAATGCCACACAGAGCAAAAGAATTGGTGTCTTACAAACAGTGCTACTTCTACCGAGTCCGATATGACATTTGCCTTTTTCAAAAGGAACATCACATCAACAATTCATATTCAGCTTGTGATTCCCTACAACCTGCACTGCGTGTCATGCTCTGTATGCCCAGCTGATTATTCAAAATCATGCGCAGAACTTTCAAACTGCCCTTCAAGAGCATTACATTTATTTCAGATCACCTCTCCAATACGCCAGGGGTCATCCTGCAATGACACTGGATTTTCAACACTTCACTTTCTTAGCCATTCTGCAAACTTTTCCAACAGAATGACGCTAGTATTTCAACAGTCTCACTCACAAAGAACTTTAATTTTAGTAAGTCACACACGTACCTGATCCATACTTTCTGGAATGAATTCACCCTCACTGTTGATACTAGTAAAGGACCCATTTCGGGCCACCTGATGCAGCTCATCTGGAATGTATCCTGGGGGAGGTGAACTCCTATCGCGAGTATTAGAACCTTTTAAAAGAAAAAGGGTAGTAAGAGTCCCTTCACTAACCCAAAACGCAGAGGCTTTATTCAAATGCTTCATAGGCACTAAGCCTGCTTGGATCACTTTTTCCCTTCAGATACTTCCCAAATACCTGTTCAATATAAGATTTACTACTGCATTCAAAAACCTGTAAAACCTCATGAAAGCTGGAAGGCAAAACAAAAACAACAAAACCCCCACCCCCCACTGTTTTCCCATGTCAACTAATCTTTTCCAAGTCTTGAGACGTTTCAACTTTTCTTTGTTAGTGTACTATGTCTGCAAAACATGCATAAATGTATAAATACATAATGAATTAAATTGCCTGAAAAAAATTGTTCATTAAACACTGTAGCTTCATAATTAAATGTGGAAGTTAACAGCACACCAGCTTGAAAACATGAAAAGAGGTTATACTACTACCAAAAAAATCTTAAACAAAAGTTTGCACATTAATATTAAAAATATACGAAAGTCTCCTATCAATCAAAAAGCATTCTGCCATATAAACAGATTTCTTTGGTAACTCATTCCTGTATCTGAAAACAAATGGTAGTATTAACATTAGTTTTTCAGTACGAAGATATGCTAGAAAAGAACCATAAAATTTAGGTAAGCAACAAGGAATATGCAGTTACCCTGTCAGTTAACTCAAGTAATTCCACATAGATTCATTTCCTTGTGGATTTTTAAATATTTTTCTGTACTACACATTCAACCACCTTTGACTCTTTAAAGTAGAAATTCACTGCTATAGTATCTCAGAGTGCAGAGTCTATAGCAGCAAGAGTCACTGATGAGCAGGAGAAATAGAAACAATATGTGTTGAGAGTGAGATCTTCATAAAGAGCATCACAAAAGAAGTTCTTACAATTAAAGGTATTGGAACATATAGCTTACCTATTACAGAAAGTCGCCTTTTTCTTTCTGTCACACCGAACACTGTATTATCTAAATCTTCCAGTGAGGGCAAGGGTTCCACGTTATTTACACTGGGTGACTAAAAATGAGTATATATTACAAATTGTAATTTCTGTTTTATACTCCAGAAAATAAAAAAACTTCACAAATTTGTAAAAGCTTCATGCAAAGCATCTTTTTTTTCCAAGCAGTTGAAAAAAAACTAGCCAATTTATACCAAAATTCATTGTAGTAGCTCGTTCATAAAGTTTGAAGACAATTGTGTGTTATTTGCTAGTATTCGGAATCCTATCAGCATCATGAATATGGAGTGTTAGATGATACCAAAATAGTGTTGTTTAGGCTATGGAACACTGTTGCTGCTTTCTACAACATTTAACTTTCCATAAAGGAGTGGCATCTGAAATCTCAGTTTAAAAAGTTTCAAACAAAAATAATTGCTTAAAATTCTCCATGCATTTCTCAAATTTGCATCACATCATCATTCTAGTAAGGAACACTTTTCTACCACTGTAGGAAGGGCATAAACAAAGAGAAGAATGGCATTTAGAAAAAGTTAAATCTGACTCGAAACAAAATGTCAACACATGCATTAAAAAAACTGAAGAAGCAATCTCTAATATTTTCAATCAGAAAAATGTCATATTTAACAAAGGATACAAATTATACTTTGATCTGAAAACTGAGGAAAGAGACGTTTAGAGGGCCAAATCATACCTGTGTATTTCCATGTATTACAAGCAATATCTTGAGACTCTTCATGTGAACACTACGGTCAAGCAGTTCCACAGCTTTGTCTAGGTCATCCTGTGTGGTTAACGGAATCACAAGCTACAAAAAAAAGGAAGGGGGGGGGGAAAAAAGATGACTTAAACAGGATACAAGAAAGAAAAGAGGAAGTCAAGGGCACAGGGAACAAATGAATTGATGTCATCTTTCCTTTCATTTCAAATAACTTGAAAATAAAGTCTATTAACAATGTGTCAAGTTACCACCAAAACGTACCAGGGGAAAAAAGTAAGCACAACCTTAATTCTACCTTTACAGAGTACAGCATTGTGGAACAAGTCTTCATAATGAGGAAACAACAGTGTTGCATATACAGCTTAATTTCCTACAGTTTCAGGAAAACATGCAATAGTGTCAATGTATTTCCCATCCTCAAAATTATTGCAAGTATATGAAAAGTATGAATAAATATAAGTCCTATCTTCTAGAGCATAAAGTATATTTTTCTATCTCCGAATAAATACTACAACTATACTTTTTGAGGTAACATCATTTACATAATTTCTCCATTGAATAACAGAATTTGTTAAGGAAAGGTTTCAGGCATAAGGGGAAACACATGGAAAAAATGTGGTCCTTACCAGAACTAATTTGAATCTAATTAATTAGAATTAATTTGGCCTACATGTTTCTTTGGGAATACATGTTTCTTTAGAACAGGTAACTATACGCAGTTAAAATGCACTCGAGATCCACGTTCCACAGTGAGTAGTGTAAATTACAACTTAGGTTTGTAATAAAGAAATGGCACAATATGAATTTTTAAAAATCTACTCTATCCATAAACAAGTAATCTCAACGATGCTCCAACACAACACAGATGAAGTGCAGTACTTTTTAGACAAAAAGGAAATAAATCATATAGGGAATTTTAGGAGCCAGTCAAGTAGGACATCGTCAAAACAATTATTGTGCGGACCAAATCTACCTTATAATTCTTCTTTATGGCTAGAAACAAACAGATGGGAAGAAGAGAATGAAATGAGCACACTCGTCATTTTATGCCGCAGTTTGAATGTTAACAGCAGGTTATTACCATCACACTTCTGAAAAACGATGGAACGATTTTCCATCCGGAGCAGAAGATGACAAGCAGAAAACCTGCTCAAATGCCTAAATAGCTATCAGGGAAAGGAGCTGAGGCCAAGCATCATAAATGCCTGCTTCCTCTGACCTTCCTAATCTCCAAAAGCTTTCTGTAGAAATTCTTCATCTCGAGGATCAGTTTCACAGAAGTGCCTGGTAAGGTAGTTAGTAACCAACAAACAGCAATTACAGAAATCTTCTTCAGTAAAGATACAGATTAAGTGAAGTAATTACACTGCGCATAACTGAGTGCCCAAATAACCCTTCAAGCATTTTGCTGACTCAAGGCCAAAACCAGAATGAACTCCTAAGAATTGATCCCGCATCCCTAAACACATTTTCTATTAACAACCCCATCTATACTTCAAAAGGAAAGCTGGAAGCAATCTTGATCAGGCATAACTGCTTCGAGGCCAAGAAATCTTTGCCAACTAGACACTTTAAGAAGAACGGTTGAGCCTAGTTCTCCAATCCTAATGTTACAAAACAGTATTTTTGCAATTTCCTACTAACATTAATCTTTAAAAATCAATGTACAATAGATAAACGTTATTTCCAACTTGCAAACAAGACAAAGCCCAAAGAGGGAAAGACTTTCCGAAAGCCATGCAACAAGACTATGGCAGACCAAGAAAAGAATTTACCCATTCCCAATCAAGTCTGAGACTTGATCCATTAACATATGACTCTCCCCATAAAACACTTCATGCACCTCCTGCGTATACTAATTTAGGCAAGCCTCATACATTTGAGGGCACATACATTATGAATCTGGGCTTGCGTGACAGAATTAAGCTTCGTGACACACTGGTCCACACTGCTGATGAGAGCGGATCCCTGTCCAGACATAATTAACATGCAAGACATGGAGAATTTAGAAAATACAGTCTATTACCTCATTATTGCTGTAATGCAAATCCATTGTCTGTCCAAAAGCAACTTTAGCTTTAGCTGCAAGATCTTCTAGTTTGACAGGCCTGGAAAACTGCAGGATCCTGAAAGACAATTTGAATTGTAGAGAACTTTTGTCCATTACTTAAGAAAAGCTGGCAATTCATTACTTTGTATTCTCAGAATTAAATTTATTATTAAAAACAAGAGTCTGCTCTATTCACTGTCCTCCGTATTTTCAGTCATTAGAAAAAGAGAGGAAAAGCAGTGAAAGAATTAAGGATAGTCAAGCACAAAAATCAAATCTCATCATGAGTATTTAAGTGCTTGCACTCCGGCTTCTTTCTCAAGCTAATGCTTTGCGTGCCTCCATTCTGGAGGCAAATTCTTAGAAACGTCTAAAACTTTCTGTTTCAGAAAATTAAAATAAAACATTGGAGTACCATAGGCTGACAAGCATAAGCAAGCAGAAAGGAAACACTCCTACAGTTCCCATTTCCAAAATATCCCAAAGACCTCTGTATCGAAGGAAGGTAACTAAATATAATCTTTAAAATAAATCACACAGTTAAACTTCTGAGTCCATCGACACTGACTGTGCTTCTTTAAACGCGTTCCCATAAAAATGATGGGATTGCAGATCAATGACTCAGATTTTCTGTTAACTGAATGTCTCTCCAAGCCAAAAGATCCCAAATGCCTATAAGTGACTTCTCACTACAGAAAACAATTGTATTATTTGAGAAAAAACATCATTAAAACAAAACATTTTAAAAAGATATTAAGTCAGTACAGCAGATTCAATTCACACATTCAAGGAAGAAACAACGCTCAAATTTTGTGAAGCAGAAAAATTAGCAAAGACTAATTGTCCCTTTTATAGGTGTTTTAATTGGTACGCTGCTAAGGGAATTTCCTCATTGAAATAAGGGTAGAAGCTAGTTCACTTCTAATTATTATTAAAAAAAAGATCAGTTTTCACTGTAGTTAACTGTTTGTTTAGCAAGTCTGGAACTCTGCCCACTAGAGCGCACGTTCCTTGGTATTCCTCAGTCCCTTGCCACGCTCACTACTGAAAGAAACTCCAGAATCACTTCTCTTTTCCACTTCCCTTTTTAAAAAATTAGTAAGAAAGCAATTGCATAACTTACTTTTTCTTGCATCATTTCATTATTTTATCTTTAGAGCTACGTGCTTAGGCAACAAAAGTATTAGAGCTCATGCTGAGCAATGTGCCTGCTCTGCCCAGTATCCCTGGACAAGGAGATTCAAGTTACTTCGGACAATTCAGAACAGAGTTAGGCTTATCAGCATCAAATAATAGCTATTTAATGCACTTATTTCAGGCTTCTATTCATATAGTATTGTTTAGCCTAGCCCACTGTGCAAATGAATTAAAATAAACTACAAAAATATTCTTCTAGTGCAGATCCGGAGTGAGTAAATAATAGCTCTCCGTTTTAAATTCATACTTCTGCTTATTTCACAATAAATCCCTAGGTAGAAAAGTCAAGTTTAAAAGCTTTTGTTTAAAAGCTTTAAAAGTTTAAAAGCTCATTTATTCCATATTACTTATAACATCCAGCCATTAACAATGCACTGTTATACGTGACGTTCAAAAGAGTGATAGATGCTGAAGAACATTAATAGCTAGTGAACTTACTGCTGTTTTTTAACTCCTGTAGAGAGGCTACATATTGCAACTACCATGAATGCACACCAATCTATTGCACATCCTTAAGGACTGCCAACAAGAAGTACAAGTTTCACTGTGAAGCAATTCTTGATTAAAGGGTTTACCATTTCAATTGACAAATCACATGACTAGGATGTTTTTTCCCTTTTAATTAAGTATTTTCAAAAATTTTAATTCACAATCACTTCTCAGTAGGTACGATGGTAGGGTTATGCTTTCAGAAGGAGGCAAGCAGACAAAACGAGCTTTCTGCAAACCTGTTCTGCATGGACTTGCAGGTAAAGGTGAAAGGTTTTGAACAGCCATCAGGGCAGAGATATATACAGAGATGTTAGTACACTTTAAGCACATGCATCGTTCACCTCTCATGAACAAAATGAAAATAAATGTTAACTGATTTTTCAGAAGAAAAACGTGTGAGAACAACCTTGTTACAAATTCTAATAAATTTTCCATTATAATTCTCACGTTGGTTCCTCCAAAGCATAATTCACTGTTGAGTTTAAAGACACAGGTTTCTTTCTTACTCCAGTGTTAGAGAAACAATATATTAGCATGCACTTATGTGCAATAATGCAGTGGGGGGAAAAAACAAATTTACTGGTCTACTCATTTTTAAGGTCTATGCTCATGATCTAAGTAACTGTTCTAGGCTATCTATCTAAACGGTAAAATATAAAGCATGTTATGTGAGGCATGACTAAGTTATTTCTGCATTTGTGTATACTTAAGAGGCCAGAGTTTGAACCGCTGAATTCTGCTTAAATTGTGTTTATATCCAAATTAAACTCAAACTGAACACACTCAAGTATCTGAAGCATTTTGAACAGCTAATTTGAAACTTTATGATCAATAATTCACCAAAAAAAAATTCTATAAATAATTAAAAGAGAAGACTGTTCCTGTATTCCCGTCTTACCTTTTCTCACCTCGATGTTCAAATTTGACTCTAACATCATTCTGTAACAAAAGGGATATATAAACCACTATTAGTTTGTTACCAGTTCTTCTAACCAAAGCCATTAAAATTCCATTCAATAACCCTAGGCCATATGTATACTCTTTAGGCAGTCCATATTAATTTACTATCCGTTTCCTGATATACTAAACATTTTGGCAAATTATCTCTGCTGAGGTATCAGATAGAAGCTGAAAGTGCGTAAGAAATTAAAAAATGATTTTGCAGTACAACGAATGCTTCTGTAAGTAACCAAACTAGTTACAATCAATATATTTTAACAGATTCGCTTCAAATTCAGCATGAAATTGATTACCAAAGAATTCTGTATCTTGAATAGGCACTCGCTTGAGCGCTATGAGAAATAACAAAAATTAGTTAAATTTAGTATTTTAAAATAATATGTTCACCACTACCCCTTTATGTGCCCTGTAATACATAGGCACAAGCAAAAAATCTCGCTTCATAGGAACAGAAGACAACTATTCTCATTCTTAAGCTTAAATCAAGCCATCTGTCTTAATACTTTTCATTAGGTCGTTACAAAATCTTTTTACTTTAGGAGCCGAACAGCATAGGTGCATTCCTTATGTACAAAGGAGCTTTTTTCCTGACTGTATGTTTTTTAATCATCATTTATATTAGAAAATGAACTGAAGAAAGTTAGACTTTTTTTGAGATATAAGGAAACGATCTTTTTCAAGTACACGTTTTTAGAATATTCTTAATAGTAGTTCCCTCCAGCCGACAAACATTCCTGAGATAAGATACCGGGTACTACTTAGTGAATGACCTTACTTGTAGCGTTCTCAATTTTTGCAAGACGGTAGTAACGATAAGTAGTAATGCACAAACGTAAGAGGCTAAAGTAACAGCTGCCAAATTTAAGGCTATTTGCATGTTTCTTGACATACGCTGTGTTTCCCTTCAAAACGTAATGATACTTTGAGTGAAAACAAATCCGTGACATCTACTAGGTTAGTACTGGCTACCTCCTTGTCGCTTTCTTAAAAGGAAAGCGAACAGGAGAAAGTCCAGTGTGCACTACTTTGCTAGTCAGTATTAGGATGTAGAGCACGCTTTGGAGTTCAGTGACAGGCTTCTTAAGAAACATGCCTCATTTCATAAGCACTTCCAAAAAAGCCCACAGTAACTAAAGCAGCATTCATGCAATTAATTTCCCAGTAATCAAGATACCTGTAAACATCTGCAGTCCCACAGAAATAAAATTGTTTTGTAATATCGTAACTTTAAAAATCAAATTGTATTACCAACTATTACCAGAAAAAAGAATGGCATTTAACTCCACAGATTATGTCCAAGTAACAAAATGCCACATCTTCCAAAGGAAGTACTTGATTTATACAGAAAGGTCACAAATTTAAACAGAATAACAAACATGTATTTTCTCCTCACCACTACCTTAAAACTCAGGAATGGTTCAACTATTTTTTTTCTTAACTTCCTAAGCATTTATTATATGCAAATCATTCTGGATAATATATGTGCATTACCTCAATGCCTAAGGTCACAATTCATAAGAGAATTATATGATACTAGTAAAGCACCATTTGGTTACTGAATATACTGAACTCTACTGCTTTTAAACCACAGAAGGACAAGACACAAATTAGCAATAAATTGTTGATGGTTCAAGAGCTAAATATATTCAAACAATCTGATACTTAACAGGTTAAAACCAGACTGTGCAAAATGAAGTTTCATGAAATATTAGACTGTCAATTAAGGCTCCAATCAAACTCAATAAGGTTCAATAACAATCTGGCTAAAAATCCATGCCCCCCTCCCCACCTCTTCTAAAGTCTCCCTATCATAGTTCAACTCTATCAGTGTAAGCGTTCACTACTTTTCCAGCTATCTGTAGTATGTCACGGAGTCAGGGGGAGGCCGGAATCACAGCTGAAAAGAACTCACATTTCTAACATATGAATAAACACAGAAAAAACAATTCAGACCTTCTCCATGCACGCCAAAGATGCAATGAAGGAGTTTAAGTATTTTTCTGATGCTGCGCTGGCATCCTTTAATATGACATAGATGACAACTAAGCAATCTAATATACCTATAAAATTAATCCTAAAGAAGCATTTCAAATGAAAGATGCTAGCACACCTTGATATTTTAATATAGAATCTAGTACCAGTCAATCAAAAAAAAAAAAAAGAAAGAAAAAGAACTACGTACACGTCAAACAAGCTCATAAGAGCATTTTATCAGGATTAGAGTAACTTAATCATACACTATGATCTGCCCTGAAATTCTGCAGTTTCACTTGGCTGCTAATTTAAGAACATGAACAAAGAAAATGGCAGCACATGTGGGAGACTAATAACTCATTTCAGTATGCTCACTGATCTGACAAGAAGAGTAATTACGGAAGGCACAGCAGGACATAGTGTTCAATAGGTTAGTAAGAATATTAAAATATTACCTGTTTTTTAGGTGAAGATGACTTTGGTTTTCCTGTTTCTTGCTGGGGCAATACAGGACGACTGGCCTTATGAAGCACAGCCAAATCCTGCATGATTGAATTCAAAGCTTGCTGCTCATCTGCTCAGAAAACAGATAAGGAAAAAAAAAAAAAGGCAAGTTTAAATGACTGCTACACTTAAAGTAATTACTGCATTATTTCTCTACTAAGTAGCCATCACTCTAAAATATAAAACATAATTGCCAATTTTTAAAAAAAAAGTATTGCCATGCTGCAATTAAATATTTTATTTATCATAAACAGCAAATATACTTAAAAGATAAGTTTAAACAAGTGAGGTCAAAACAAAGATTGACAACTTTTCCTCAACTCTACAGAACTGCAGGCTGTATTATGTAGAAGAAAGGAGAGAGGGGAAAAAAAAAAAGCTTCATGCACTCTGTTTCAAATAAAGCCTAAATAAAAGGCAGAGAAAATGATGAGATCCAAAGTAGCAATAATACTTTTTTTTTTCTAGTTTATAACATACAGGCAGAAAAACAGCAAAGACTTCATTTTGAGTATCGTTTTTGTTTTGTCCTAAACAGCTAGCATCACGCACACAGGAAGTATCATCACAGAAACTCTCAGAGGAGCACCACTGCTCCTTAAAACAGTACAGTCCTTAAGTACTCAAAGGTCTGTATGGCCATCACTGTAAATGAAATTTATTTGGCACTCTTTATTATATACTCATTCCCTACCATAACAGCAGTACGACATTCAACATATCTGGAACACTGGATAACATAATTTATCTATGAAACTATTATATGCATGTCTTCGTGCTACTTGATAATTAATAGGATTGTAGAAGAATAACTAAACCCTCCAACTTTCAAAGATTAGTATTTCTCAAATATGGACTGAGAAGAACTCGGCACTACTCTTAGTAAGTAAACACTCCAGGTATGCAGTGAAGAGGAGATAATTCCTTCACTCTCCATTCAAACATAAGAAAATACAGTTATCACATCAGGAAATACAGTTTGTGGAATTTCAGTCTTCTAATTTAATAGACTGCTAATAGATTAGAAAGCTGGTCTGAAAATTAATAACTGATCACCAGTCATGCTGTCATAATTCATAACTCTACTAGGACATGTAAATCTCAGAAGGTAACTTTTACTAGAAATATTTAATATCAAAACTGATGACATTATTGCAGCTGACAGTTGTTACTCCATGCCTACAACAAAACACACTTGAAAACCTGCCACAGTTGAAAAGCTTTACTTATTTTATTGTATTATAGCGCTCAGTGAGAAAAATACTGGGGTTTGTTTTTTTGTTTTTTTTTTTTTTAGCAGCACGAGGAGGTATAAACCCCAACAGTCACTAGCAGCACACTCGATACAAAAGGAAACCAAAGCACTGTGGCAAAACTTACTCCATAACTTTACTGAATATCCAATATAATTCAATAAAGTCATCTTACATTACAAATGTTAAAGAATATCACCATTCTAAGAAGCACTTTATTCCTGGATTCAGCTACCTTCCTATTAAGCATGAGGTTAGGAAAAAAAAAAACACTAACATAACAATAAAAGATAGAAGCTACACAGAAACACAGTTTGTTTGGTCGAGTTTTTTGAGAGTGAGCACCAGTAAGTGAGGACAAGACTGACTGTTCAACTCCTTAAAAAAGCATGTACAACTTCAAAACTTGAGATAAGTTTTAAAAAAACATGCTATAGATTTAGAGAAGCACAATTAGAGCATCAAGACAGTCCTAGCTTTGTGTACAGCAATGGCAGGGTAATACAGTAATCCTGTTTAATATACACATTTCAGGTTTTTTCAATCGTTATTATAATTCAGATCACTGTGAGTTTTAGGGAACTGAGCCATACTTACTATGTTAACCGTGAATTTCAATTTTCCATACTTGAAAATACCTAGGGAACAGTGTTATACTCTAGTGGAAAAATCAAAAGTATCTTGCGTATCAACAAAGCAGCTGAACACTGCTTTTCATGAAGACATTACATTGAATTACACAGCTAGAGTACACATTTCCTAAGGATGTATTAAAAAAAGGTATTACATAAATGTTTTTGCTCTTCACTAGGAACGAAATCCAACTGAATTAAAGTTGTATATATATATATTATGCGCACAAAACTTACCCATAATGGCAGTGAGCCTGAAAACCTGAACTTCAGGGAAATGGTTGCCCTGTTACCATTATTTTTATATCCTAAAACACAAAACCAAAATTACACAATTATTGAAGCTGTCAAAATGATGCAAGGCAGTCAACTCTTCCCTGTCCACAGGCAGTTTATCTGATATTCTATGTATCAGATAAGCTACAGATAAGATTGTATATGCAGATACAACATCTGGAAAAACCGACATTGTTCCCAAAGTCTCTCTGGGCTCAGCTCAACACATATCTACGTTTAGAAGACACAAAGCCTAAACTAAATGTTCTGGTAGGCTTAAGCTGACTTTAGTCTCCATCGGTACCCCCAAATTATGCTTAGCAGCTTTGTTAGTCATATTGCTCTGTTACCTGGGTATACCCACTACTCCAGGTATTTAAAAAACAATTTTATTTTCACAGGTTCCTTGTTTACAGTTTAGAAGTTCTGTGTTCAGAACAACATACATGAGAAACTCTGGAAAACCTAAAAAACCCTACATCTAGAGGCTTCAACACTTGCTGTTTATACAAATTAGAAATCATTAATTTCTAGTGTTTTTTCACCACAATACAAGAGCATTACAAAAATGTTCCAGCACCCCTGGGAATTAAGGAATTAAGCTATTAAGCTAAAATCATTTTTTAACATGTATGCTGTACTTCATTATTATAGTTAGAGAACAAGTTTCCCAGAAAAGTAGAAACAAACATCTTGAACAAACATCTTGAACATCAGCCAACTGAAAAAAACCACTACTTAAAATATCTAAAATCATCTTTCTGTAGGATATTATTATGGAGCTTAACAGCAGAAACGTAAAGTCATAACCCTAAGCAGACATGGAGATCGGTTTGTAAGACAGGCTACCACAGGAAGAGTTCAGATTTATAACACAAGAACGTAGTCATTTCTCAAGCAGGTAAGGCAATAACTGCTCACCGGCACCAGCCAGAGAGAGCCCAGTCTCTCCTCCCTTTCCTTGGCTGCACAGGATCATCTGTCCTTCTGACTCAGAGCTGGAAGATCTACCCCTCTCGGGTAAAACAGAGGCATTTCCCTGCAAGTCCATTCAAGGAGCTAAATCAACACAACATGACTCAGTTTTTTTCCCTTCTCGTCCTCCTTAGCATTAATTTTCTCTTGGTCTAGTTCCTAAGCAGAGCGTCAAATGAACCCTACTGCCAGCACAGGGCAGGGAGCGGGAGCGCATGGCTGAGCGCCCACCTTTCAGCACCAGTCAGTCATTAGACTTCCTTGCTTGAATAGCCTATCAATTTCCTAGCTAACAGCAAATTTATTACAATTTTCCAAAGGGGTACCAGGACAAAACTTATTGATACAATCCAACACTAAAAGCCTTTTGGAAAAATGTCTCTAACTAAAGTCTCTTAAAGAAACTAAATTGCACTGCATAAAGACAGGATGCTTCAAGGATGAGTGACTACTTTAAGAGGTAGCGAAAAAGGGTAGGAATCTTTCTCATAACGGAGGGCAAGTGAACCCGCAATCTGATTATTATAGATACTTTATAAAAATCTAGAACACTAGAAAGATCACTTCCACAGCAAAGCAGAAACACATTCTGTAATTTCTCCGACAGAACAGCACTACTATTCTTATCTATTGAACAGTTTTAAGAAAAATCAGGAATTCCCAGCGTGATACATCTTGCACTTTCATCCATTTACCATTCTCTTATGTAGTATTTTTGTACTTGTTTTGGCTTTAATTATTAAGTGTACTAGTACATATATTCAAGTGCAGAAAACCTGTATTTCTGGATGTAAAAATAATTTCAGTTAAATAGACAGATCTTTCATTCTGAGTCTCTGGATCATGTCTTCTACTTATTCATTCCATGAAAACTGCCTTTTTAAACAGCTTTCATTTCACCAGTGGAATCAGAAAGCTCCCGGTACTCATGGTAGGACTTGCAAAGCTCGCATTTTCCTGAAAGACAATTGCACTTGAGAGCCATATAAAGTTTTTCCCTAGATACTGCCTGACCTTTACCTACGTAACATCTGAGTCCATCTACTATTGTCTGTCTCAAGCTCTATAATAACCAAGAAGAGACTAGGCTCTTGCAACAGACACCAAGGCCCCCCCCCCAGCCTTGCTTTTCAATCAGAAATCTGTTCAGTTGAACAAAAAAAAGACAAAATTTCCTTCTTGATCTCACAAGATGCCAGGAGGCCTGGTTTGCCTAACTAGCCAGTTCTACCTTTAGAGACTTAAAGAACATAACTAACTTCTCCTTCACACCTTATTCTTTGCTTCTTTTACATCCTGAAGGATCAAAAAAGCAAAATGGAATGTATATTCAATTATTTTATACACCATGTGGTATCTGTAGTAGTAAGGGTATTCAGGAAAACTTCGGAAGAATTATTCACTAGTTATTAAAGTGCTCATGAAACAATTTTTAAAACACTTGAATCAAAGATAGAATTAAAATAGGAGCTAGTGTCATTTTCATAAATGTCTGATTTAATTAGCATACATTAAACAAATACATTAAACAAAAGAATGTGTTGCATGACTTCGGATGAAGTACTACTGTAGTATTTTTTCCTATAAGTACTCCAAAGAAATATAAAAAAATCCGTGATACATTTTAAGTCTTCTGTCACATTTTAAAAAACAAGAACAAAGTTATATCTCCAAATAAAAATATCCCAGATACCTTCCTCAACCTAGCTGAGAACCAAATTTGGAAGTTCAACTTATTCGAGTTACAGGGCTCGAAAATAAGGCAAACAAAAAAAAAAAAAGAAGAAGAAGAAACATCATAGGAAGCATCTTCTACAAGTTCCTCCAGTTACACAAATTCATTTTTTAATATTACTCTGTGGCACCTTTCATTAGAACCATACAAGCTAATGAGTGAGCATCCACTTCTTTTCCCTTCCTAATTCCTTCTAATTTTTTTTTCCTTTTAAAGAGTCCAAGAAATTGTATTTCTCCGAATAATTTATGAACTTTGCACCTCATCATTTCTTTTAACCAGGATTCTTTCTCTTCCAGGATAAAGGACAATCAATCACAAACTAAACATATTCATCTTCTTGTCAGTAAAACAAGTGTTAGTCACCTCAAAAATAAACCAAAAAAATAAATCAAAAATTTAAATTAAACAGGTGACACATCCACTATATGAAGGCTTCATCTCTATGAACTGAGAAATCAGTTCTGGTTTTAACGGCTTATTATAACAATGAGGGAGGGGTGGAGAACAACTAGGGGGAAAAAAATCACACACTGACAGAAATGAATGTATTTTAAAAGACACATTCAACAGGAGAAAACCCCAAACCCTAGTCCATGGATAAAAGGTAGTATTAACACACACAAGGTAGTATTAACACACCCACCCACCCCGGAGCAGATTCCAACCCAGAAAAAAAAAAAGGAAGAGAAAAAGGAAAAACTGGAACCCAGAGAACGATCTGGGAGAAGCAGAGGCAGCAAATACTACAAGGGCAGACACAAAGGCAAAATAGAATTCTGTCAAGGTCTTGAAGACCAACACAAGCAGCCTGAATTTGAATGTAATTAAAGAAAGGATGACAGAGAGTGAATTTCAAAAAGGTGATGATGTGATAAGAGTGGCAAACAAAGAATGCCCTAGCAACAGCATTTTGGGGATAAGGGTGGGGAGATGCTGATTCATATTCATGATTCACTTCCTGTCAGCCACCTTCCACAGGGCCTGGAAGTCTTTCTGGATCTGGGAAAGCGGCTGAAGGAAGAAAATAACCAGGTGATTCTTGGAAATCATTTTTCACTCTCTCACAACAAATGAAACAAAGCTGGTAGACAAATAAGTTACACGGACGATAATCTAGCTGTTCAAATTCTGTGCTAATTGTCCATACGCAGGTACTTTCCCTATAACAAATGCAACAGATTTAAGCCGCCTCTCATTTACTGAGAGATGAAAGCACACAGATACAGGCAGATACACCACACAGTCTCTTGTGACTTACTTGTTCACAGGCAAAAAAAAACTCCTGAAGGTTATGAAAAAAAACATAAAGACCCTTTAACCTTACACAGTGCGGGAAGAAAGCAAGCAGATGCTCTAAGAGCCGAGTAGCCAATTCAGTGGGCTAGAAAGGGAGGGTTTAGTTCTATGGGATATCTCACCTAAAGAAAAGAAAGTTTCTATAGCATCCACCTTCATAACAGAAGTACAAAGTTCAAAGAGTCAAATTAGCTACAGCAACCAGGAGAGCCCTAAACAAATGAGGGCAACAGAGGTGGTATCTAAGCACTCAAGAACATAAGCCAGTTTTCATGGTGTCTTGCATGTTAAAAACAAGCAAAAACATAAAGAAACACAAGCAAGGTCTTAGTCTAATTTCATAAGGAAATCGGGTTTATGCAACAACCCTTCAGCTGCACAGAAAGATGCCTTACAACACTGAAGTCCACTAACATATTTCAGCAGAGGAGCTGGAATCTCAAGGATATCCATTCCCTACAAATTTTCACTAAAACATCTCAGCTAGAGGATACAGAATCATAATTCCCCGTTCTCACACCAAATTTAAAATAATGCAGTGCAAACACAAAAGAATACGTACAACAATTATTCCCAACACAGCAGAGTTTTAAGTGGAGATTATATTGTATTAGGCATGAGCCGATAAACCAATATGACAGAAAAAAAAACAATCTTTGCTAGTCAGCTATTCAGCAACATCCTTGTCTATACACAAGTGCACAATACAAAGAGCCAAGTAAATACGAGGAGTGGGGGTTCACAGTTGGTTTTTTTTTCTTAATTGTAGAAATGGATAATCAGAATATGAAATTTGACTGTTATAACTTACTTCCTGGGGAGGAGGAGGAGGGAGACAGACAAAATGCTTTTCATCTCAAAACACTACTTCTAAAGAATCAGATGCTCAGGCCTCACACAACCTCCTGTAAATCACAAGAGGCAAGGCTGAAAGAACCTCAAGTGATCACCTAGCTAAATATGCCTTCTTAACCTTTAGCCAAAATAACCTCAAAATCTCTTGTGCACCACTGCTTATCTTTTTT